CCCAAAAATAAATAAACGTTGAAAAAAAAAATTATAAAAATAAATAAATAAATAAATAAATAAAGAATAGGAAACTGATAAGTGAGGTCACATGACAGCTAACAAGTGGCACAAGAATATAAACCTAATTATTTCACTTCAAATCTATTTTATAAACAGTCTAGTAATGGCACAGTTCTCAGGATCATAATACAGTAAAAATCAAGAGATTAACTTTAGGGGCATTTTTATCAGCTAGACTTGATGACAGAAGACAGATGATTTAGAAGTTGGGGGAGAAAACAGGAAAGGGTGATAAGTCACAACAATACAGTGGGAAAATACTATTTCTACAGTGGAGTATAAGTATCACAGCAATGCTGTATCTTGTGTGCAGCCCACGACTGAATAGAAATAGGTCATAAAGTCACAAGGAATGAGAATAGATGAGAACGATTGCCCCATAAAGCGAGCTAATAGCATTAGCTATTAAAAATTAAAAATTTTTAAATATTTATTTTGAGAGAGAGAGAGAGAGGGAGACACAGAATGTGAAGCAGGCTCCAGGCTCCAAGCTGTCAGCACAGAGCCCCACGCAGGGCTCGGACTCGCGAACCGTGAGATCATGCCCTGAGCCAAGGTCGGACGCTCAACCGACTGAGCCACCCAGGTGCCCCGCGCAAATAGTATCTTAACAAAATGAAATCTAAATCCTCCTGATTTTCAAATGGTAAAAAGACAAGTGTTCATCTGAGAAACAAATTATTTTTAAAAAATGCGATTCAATTCAATTTCGATTATATTTTCAGTTTTATATTCAGGATTCAATTATATTATCCCAAATTAGGAGAGCATGGGGCAAGGTCAGAGAGAGATGAGTTCTCTGGAGAAAAGACCCAGAGTCCCCACGTGAATTGGATGATGTCAAGCAACTACCAGGCTTCAGTCCCTGGCTGGAAGGTGATATTTGAGGAGCCAGTGTTCAGCTGAAAAGATAAGGTGACAGGTGACTCTGACACATGTCCACATTTTACCTGCACTGCACCTCTTATCTCAGAAGCCAAGGGCACGATCCCCTCCTGCCTCCCAGTTGTCCTTGTGGACGGCCTCAGCCTGGGCATTTCGCTGGCCCAAACTGACTCTTAGGAGGACAGCGACCGGAGAGAGGGTCGCAGCCAGCTTGCACCTGCGCAGGTGGTACCAGCCTCAGCCCCGCCCCTCTCCCCCCAGGTTCTCTTCGGTGATGGTCTATAAAGTGCCAGTGGAAGATGTTCGACCTTTAGCACGAGCTTTCTTCATGTTAGAGAAGGGTAAGAGTGATACACTTTGAAATAAGATCCCCTGGAAAGCAGGTAATTCCAAATCCTAGATGAATCCATCGGCACGACAAGAACGGAATGTGACCTAAGGTGTTAGTTTTCAAAGTTCAAATCTCCAGTTGAATCTTATGGGCACGGGATCAAAGAGGTGGACAGATTCTGTGTGTGTTGGGTGTTGGGGGAGGGGCAGGGGGTTAATGGGAGTGATTTTACCTTTGGTGGGGTTTTTCTGTGTGTATACACACACACACACACACACACACACACACACACACACAGGAACAACCTAAGGCAAAATTCAGTTGTGTATGCATTCAAGGAGAATGTTTTCTTTGGGAACATTGATGCATGCATATTTACAATTCAATTTTTATATGGACTTACATCTTATTTTATTGCCTTAGGCTGGGTATTAAGAAACTGGCTCCTGTCTGGTCATTAGAACAATCTTCCCTTGTCTGTTGCACTTCGAAAGTGACCACGCTGCGTCTGTCATCACTGCCCCATGTTTTTCTTGCCATCAGAGCTCATTAGCTCTGCTTCTCTGAACTGTGCTAGCCGCAACTCCCTCCCTCTGCTCTTTCCATTGTCACGGCTCAGTGATCTTTTTGCTGGCTTGCCACCTTCCCTAGGGAAGACATTTAAGGCTCCTGGTTCGAGAAGACTTTTTTTACTCCTGCCGATAACATTCATGGTCACGGCAGTGCCCCCTTTCCATCCTCCGAGCTGAGGACCCCAACTCTCTGGACCATGTGTTTGTGCAGTCACTTCCGGATCGACACTGTGGCCAATACTGGCCTGGAGGTTCTGCTGGTGACCTATTTCCAGTCTACTGCCCTCCCATCGGGGCTGGGACTAGTCCCATTTTGGTTAAGGACAAGGGTTTTCAACTCAATTAGGCGCAAGCTGTCACTAGAGAGAGAGGCCCACAAAAGATATCTGCTCCCCAGAAACCTTCAAACATCTTTCCATATCATCTTTTGATGCTTCCCTTTGCCAAATATGTCTTCTTTCCACTTCTTCCTGTGCTGAGTGTGCAAAAGCCTTGGATCACACACAGGGAAGGAGGCCTTTGCAGCACCATTTCCTCCATTAAACAGACATTGCGAACACTGTGCTAAATGAGCATTGTGTGAGCACTTTTCTCCCCAGACCCAAGTGAATGCATTGATGTATTTTATTTTTAATTTTTTTTTAATGTTTATTTTTGAGAGAGAGAGAGTGCGAGCGGGGGAGGAGCGGAGAGAGAGAGGGAGACATAGAATCCAAAGCAGGCTCCAGGCTCCGAGCTGTCGGCACAGAGCCCGACGCGGGGCTCGAACCCACAAGCCACCAGATCGTGACCTGAGCTGAAGTCGGACACTCAGCCGACTGAGCCACCCAGGCGCCCCAGCATTGGCGTATTTTTAACTGAATGCAATCCTTAAACTAGGAACATTGTCATTGAAACTTTTTTATTCAACAAGTTTTTAAAAGTTGTTGTTTGTACTGGATGCTGAACTGTCCGGCTATAAAAATATATGAACTCCTGGGGCGCCTTGGGTGGCTCAGTCAGTCAAGTGATCAACTTCAGCTCAGGTCACGATCTCGCAGCTCGTGAGTACGAGCCCCGCGTCGGGCTCTGTGAGGACGGCTCGGAGCCTGGAGCCTGCTTTGGATTCTGTGGCTCCCTCTCTCTCTCTGCCCCTCCCCTGCTCAAACTCTGTCTCTCTGTTTCTCTCCAAAATAAGTAAACATTAAAATATGTATCTATGAACTCCTCATGTGCACCCATCCTTCTGCAGTGAAACAGAGCTTCGACCTGGAGGAGTACAGCCTCTCGCAGTCCACCCTGGAGCAGGTGGGTCCGTTTTAGGGACTTTGTTCCATCCGTGGGACAGAAGTGTACAAGCTGTGCCCGTGCTTTGCACTCGCTTGGAGCTGCGGGAGGCAGCGTGACCTCCCTGTCTCTTCATTTCTTGCCCCTCTCAGGTGTTCCTGGAGCTCTCCAAGGAGCAGGAGCTGGATGACTTTGACGAAGAACTTGACCCCTCAGTTAGATGGAAGCTCCTCCCCCAGGAGGACCCTTGACGCACCAAAACCTCTATTTCCTTTCAAGCCTGCAGTTGTGTTTTTTTGAGACATTTATTTTTATAGCTTCAATGTCAGATTTCTAGAAACTATATTGTAAACACAACATGATTCTTCCTGTGGTGGAGAGAAGGAGCAAGCGCTGGGCAATTGCAGTGACCGCGTGGACAGAGGCACATGGCTGAGCCCGCCTCCTGGTCACAGCCTCTGTGTCTCTGCAGGTGGCCCTGATTCCCTATTTCTGCATAATACTGAATAAGCAAACTCACTCTTACGAGACTGTTTCATTTTCTGAGTACAATAAACACATTGGGTTCAATTGTTTGTTTGTTTGTTTATCAAAACCTTAAAATACCCTCTCACGTAGACTTTGTGAAGCTGATATTTTAATAAGAATTTAAGTGACCATGTCAAAGGTGTCATACTTTTCGAAATACATTTTTTTTGTATATTCTTATGGCTAAAAATATGACGGCATCATTCGTTCTAATATCTGATACCAATATATTTGAAAACACATCCCCTGGTAATGCTATGAGTAGCATACACACGTACTTGTGATTAGCAGTTTACTGAACTTTTTAAATCCCGGTAAACCATTGAAGTCCCGTTTTCACTGTATTTTAAAATCGAGGCTTCAGAGTTGCCCGTTTTGCCACGGATCGTTCGTGGATATTTGCCGCCTGGTCTAAGAAAGTTGATAAATGACCAAGTTGGTGGAAAATGTAAAATAAATCTCATATGTGCCGTTTTGAATTTTTTTTAATTAATTTATTTTTTTAATGAATTTATTTTTTGAGAGAGAGAGCACGAGCAAGGGAGGGGCAGAGAGAGAAAGGGACAGAGGATCCGAAGCAGGCTGTCGGCAGCGAGCCCGACGCAGGGCTCGCAGTCACCAACCGTGAGATCAGGACCTGAGCCGAAGTCGGACGCTCAAGTGACTAAGCCACCCAGGTGTCCTGAAATATGTTTTCTACTTCAAGGATTCTCACGTGTCTCTTTCTTGACTAAGTGGCTTATTTACAAATTCATTGAAATCAAATTGAAAAAAATTCTAACGTAAGAGCTGGTGTGCTAGAATCAACGTGTTGCTAAATGCAAAGAAAGAAAAAACACACCGTGGTTAAGGAAGTAAATGGTGGTGGCAAACATGTCCTAGAACAATCTTTTTTAAAAATCCCGGGTATGGTGGGGCGCCTGGGTGGCTCAGTCGGTTGAGCGTCCGACTTTGGCTCAGGTCACGATCTCGCGGTCCATGAGTTCGAGCCCCGCGTCGGGCTCTGGGCTGATGGCTCAGAGCCCGGAGCCTGCTTCGGATTCTGTGTCTCCCTCTCTCTCTGCCCCTCCCCCATGCTTGCTCTGTCTCTCTCTGTCTCAAAAATGAGTAAGCGTTAAAAAAAATTAAAATCCCGGGTATGGCTACCATGCATAACATGTAGTTAAACAAGATTTTTCTGAGCTGTGGAGAGACTTCCCTGAGCACATTTCCCTGCCAGTAGTCTCTGCCTTATCTTTTCTTCCCTCGGGAAGCCCTGACCCTCCCAGACTCAGATCCTTTTTAGCAGCCGGGAAAGCTCTGTTCCAGGCGGCACCCCTCCCCTCCCTTCCCAAGTTCCGTTTGTTCATCTTGTTCTGGTGCGCGGGATGTGCCGGAAGGCCGGTCGGTGCAAACACACCCCAAATCCCCTGCCAGTCCCTGTCTTCGAAGGCAGGGCTCGCATTCCCCCTCTGTATTCCCATCAAGCAAGATAACGTAAAGAAAACGTGCTGCTCAGCGTTCGGGGTCAGGGGCTCTGGGGGCGGCCAACCTGGAGCACATCCTTTGTAACCATGAAGGTCCACGTGACAGGCGCGGATCTCCTTGGACCGCTGGCCGTGCAAGAAAGGGGAGAGGCTACAGGTAGTCCCCAGGCCGGTTGGTACTCTGTCCACCTACTGCGTGTGGAGCCCCGCACGCAGGGGGATCCGGTCCCCACTCCTGGACACCTGGTACGTAAGTTCCCCCAACCAACCACCTCCACCGCTGTCTCCAGTCATTTCTTCGGCCTCGCTGGGCCCTCTCCCACCCTCCGCTTAGAGTCTACAGAGCCACGGCTGGGAGCCACTGGGTGAACGCAACTCCGCGCCTGCCTTCAGCAACCCGTTGCTGCGTGTCCAGACCACTAGTCTGGAGCTTGGCCTAAGTTCAATGTGGGGTCTACCGTTTACTGTCCACACGCCCCTCGCTTCGAGACAGCAGAGCCCGCCTCCGAGGGTTGCCGTGAGCACCAAAAGTCAACAACAGTCCCGAGCTGCTGGCTATGACCAGCATCCGGTGCACCCCAGGGGGCTCCCTCTTGTTTTTGTCCCCTGGGTTCTCCGGGGCACATCAACCTGCTCCCGTGTCACCTCGTTTCCTAAGGGCCAGCCGAGGCGTCTGTAAATAATCCCTGAACAGACTTCTTGGCACGGAGGACTTCACGCTGCAGCCCAGAGGAGTAACGCAGGGGCGCCTGGTGGGGGGCAGGCTCAGTCAGTTAAGCGTCCACCATCCGCTCGGGTCATGATCTCGCGGTTGGTGGCTTCGAGCCCCGCGTCGGGCTCTTGTCTGTGCTGACAGCTGGGAGCCTGGACTCTGCTTCGGATTCTGCCAGGAAAAGCCTGCCCGCTCTTCACGTGGCTTCACGTGGGACCCACGTGTGGCGTTGGCTTCCCCTGATCCATCTGCAGAGGAAACCCAACGTATCGCCGGCAGGGTGCTGCCCGGCGCCCGGTGAACTGTGAAGGGTCTGATGACCACGTGGCAGATGTTGACATTTCGGAGGCCATCGAGGGAACCTAAAGTCACAGACTAGCTCTGTGCATTTTACCCCCAACCTGTAACAGCCCCTTACATCCACAGGCCCCGGAGGACACAGAGCATTGCTGTGCTAAAAATAATTCTCTTTGTTTCTTACGGTCAGTCTTACCCTAACCGTCCTTTTTCTAATCTCACTAGCATCCTCTAATAGTCTTCCAACCTCCTTTGGTTTGGGTTTGGGGGGTTTGGGATTTTTGCCTCTCTTTTGGTTGTGTTGAGATCCTACGAAACCATATTCAAGGGAAAAACATTCAGTTCAAGGAAATTGATTGGCACGGTGGAAACAATACCCCAGCTAATGGACCAATATCGCCATTTTCCGATCAGATGTATGAGGTCGAGGGGACATGGCTCCCTGCCCCAGGCTCTGTCTCAGTCCAGTTTCCATGCTTGATTGCTTTCCTGCTCACTTGTTGGTTTCCTCTCCTTCTATCCGGGTCTATGCCTACTTATTTGTTTATTTATTTATTTAATATATTTTCCTGCATCCACGCCTCCTCTAGTGATCTGTAGGGTTTTCCACACCTGCTTTTCTTTTAAGTTTGTTTGTTTATTTTGAGAGAGACAGGGAAAGAGCGCAAGCAGGAGAGGGGCAGAGAGAGAGGAGGACAGAGGATCTGAGGCAGGCTCCGTGCCGACAGCAGACGGACGGTCCAACGCGGGGCTCGAACTCACAAACTGTGAGATCGTGACCTGGGCCAATGTCAGACGCTTAACTGACTGAGCCACCCAGGTGCCTCAGATCTATGCCACTTTCAAAGCCTTTCCTGAGATGTTGAAGTAAAACTGGGGGGGGGGGGAGAATTTTTCCCACTATTAAAAAAAAAAAAATGTACAGTCTTCCAAGATCCCAGAGAGATCAAGTGATACATTATGTTGAGCAACAAATGATAAAGGCGTCAGGAAAAATAGACGATGACTTGAAGATGGTGGGAACCAAGTGTCTCAGGAGACATCCTTTGTCTACTTGACCCGTGGAGAACACACACAGCTGTGAAAGGGTTGGAGGGATAGACTAATGCAGAATCATCACATCACACACAGGAAATGGCAACATTTTGAAGGGGGGGAACCTTCCTATTCTTCTTATAAATTCCAAAATGTCCTTGTTTTTCCAGTGATTTACAATTCGTGTCTTCATCCTACGCTTCACATCCGAGAAAAGAAATACACGAGACCTCAATTAAATAGAGATTCTAGAGTTGAGGTCTTAACCCGTGGAAGCCCGCGTGATCTCAGTCTCGCTTTGGAGGTTGAGAGAGGTAGCTTGTACCCAGGTTCTAAATAGGTCGATGCTGCTGTGTTGTCAGAGAACTCATGAGGACAGAGCATACAAATGGCCCAAATTTCTTATTGTCCTAATTAGTTGAAATCGGACTCCCTGCACTGGTCAGGGTGGCCCTGAAGGGAAGGTCAAGGGGCCATAGCAGTTTAGATCTCCACCCTTTACGATACTGGAATGTGCCCAGGAAGGAGAGTGAGGTCGATGTTGGAATCCAGTCTATCAAATGCAATGAAACGCTCCAATGTCTCCACCCACACCTTTCCTTTGAGAACTTACAAATGTACGAACCAGCTGAGTGTCCAGTTGGAAACTCAAAATGTGTCCAAAACAGAACTCCTAGCATTTCCCTTGGACTTCTCCATCTCAATAGTAGCAACATCCCAGTTGCCAACCTAGAAGGCCACCCTTGACTGCTCTGTGTCCTCCTTCGGGCCAGTTGAGCTGGTGGTTCTATTGACTCTAGCCCCAAATTGCACCCCAGTCCATCCTCTTCTTTTCTTGTGCTGCTACAACCACTGCACGAGCTGCCATTGCCTCTCGCCCAGCGTTCTGCATCGGCCTCCGGTTGTCATTCCCGCATGTGGCCTTGCGTCCCGTATTTCATTTTCTGCACAAATTCTATCATGTCCCCCATCTTTTATAACCCACCACCACACTCAAATAAAATTCAGACTCCCCGTTCAGACCTACAGATCCTCATATGACGTGGCCTCTGCCCACCACCCTGAGACTCCAGCCACATGGAGACTTTCTGTTCCATAAACACATCGAGATTACAGTGGGGCTTGGGACAGATGTGCCCTCTTCCCCGAATGGGCCACATCGAAATGTGGATCGTTTTGAACTGGAGGCGCTTGCGTCCCCATGGGCTCGAGA